AGACAGGTCCACAAATAGGAGGCTCACTGATACTTAACTGGCTGTATCACCAACATTTGTTTATAAGGTAGTTTGGTAGTTGCCATGTTAAGATACCTTTTTTTTTTTTTTTTTTGCAAATAACTTACAGGCACATGTAAAATACAGTAAGAATACTGGGTCAGAGCTTCATCCGGTGAACCTATGTGACAATCCTTCACAGGAAGGACACAACTTCTTTCACACAGTCAAGGGATGAGGGTCTGATCCAAAATGCATTTTGTTGAATTACAGATTCGAGTTGGGATGCAGCGTGCTGGCTACAGCATCATCAGGAACATTGCACAATTACTTTATGCCATTTGGGAATGCTGGGAATGTTTAAAGGCCTAAGCAGGCCCTCAATAATTTTATAGAATAGTTAAATAAATATTGCTTATATATAAAAACTCATCTCATCCCAAGATGGGAGAGGGGGAAGGGCATGTGGAGATCTCTTAGTTTAAAACAAAATAAAAGTACTGGTTAAGGGCATGATCCTATTATTAATCCACAAGAAAGAATTCAGCCTTCAACAAAAATCCAGTGAGTGGACAGATTTTCTGGATCTCTAACATGACATAAAAACACAATTGCGTACATGCTACCTTATTGCACACCCCACTTCCTTGACTGAGCCTTTAAAAAAAAATTCCAAGCTGATCTATTTCATAAAGTAGGTGACAATCTTAACATTTTACTGTATTTTACATTCACTCTGCTAAACAAAAGCCTTAAAACGGCACAAAACACTGCAACAATACATTTACTTCCTAATAAAACCACCTCTTTAATACCATGAAAATAATATGGCATAACTTTGCATTAAACTACATACCATGAACTTCGGCAACGTAAAGGACTAAAAACAAGCATGAGAAGATATTTACAAACTATCTTTTAACTCCTATAGGTCTCTCCTCTTTCTCCTGGAGGGGCATACCCCAATTCAGTTCACCTGCAGAGAACACAGCTACAGAGGAATGCCCCATTCCATACACATAATGTCGCCAGCCTGGAGGACAGACATTTTGCATGAAACATGATAAGGTAACAAGAAGCATCATTTTCCACTGACAAGAGTCTTCAGGGGTCTTCCCTACAATTAGGATACATTCTTTGCCCCTGAAAACTCATACTTCAAAAACAAAGAAAAGCATTAGAACAGGAATTAGGATTTTATACTGGGCGATTAAATAACTATGCAAAGGTATCTTCCACAAACCTATTAAAACCTTGTGCTTACTCTGCTATTAAGAATAGCGCACACAGAAGATAACACCTCCCCACCAAAATGACCCAACAAACAAAAAACTGTAAGAAAACAACAACAAAAACCCCAACAAAAACCTGGGGAGAAGCAGTATAAAATCCAACAGCTGTTCTATCAAAGAGTTATCCATTTGTCCTAGACTTGCCAAACACAGAAGCTGGTCTGGGGATCTGGGCAGGAGGGGTGAAGGTAAGAGATGGAGGTGCTGGGGCATTTTTAAGGGAAAAGGCACATGGAGAATGAGCCCTGGGTGGCAGGTGGGCACTTTCCAGTGTTTGGACCCAGAAGTATGATAGGTCTTTTCAATGTTGGCTTAAAGAGAGACTGAGTGTTTAATTTATTTTAAAAAATAGAACCACCATGGCTAACGCATGGTAACACCGTCAACCCTTAATGCCAGCAGAAATAAAGAGGTTTTACTCATTTTAAAATTGCACTTTCCAGTATAACCTTTAAAATAACGTTTTATGTAGTATTTTAAAGCACTATTGTTTGTATCTTTAAATATTGAATATATTTTCCAAAATAGTTCCCTAGCTGCTCAAGTGTGCTTTTTTAATATATAGTTGATATATTATCAAAGGTACTACAAAATAGAAATCTCTGGAGTGCAGAAGTTAAGAAAATAACCTTCATACTGAAAATATATCCTTAAAAAAAAAAACACCTCTATACAAATGTAGTACAGCATATAAATTTTTAAAAGATGGTATCAAGGCATGAACCATTGCAAGTCTCTTAGAAATGTATGAACGCAGGCCTGGCTAAATTGAAAATAGTCTTAAAAAACTAGTGAAAACTTCATGTGTATAAAATATTTCAATGTGACATCTGATAGCATTCTTCACTTTCGGGTGCACCTGCGTGCTAATCCGACACATTCTTTCTTCATAAATAGTAAAGCGTTCCTTCAGTGGCGTTTCTGTGGTCTGCCTTCGCTCTCGTCACCAGGCTCAGTATGTCTGGTAGACGTCAGGAATGGGGACCTGAATAGCAGCAGCTGGGAAGGCCTGAGGTATGTAGCCCGCGTACCCCCCATACACAGCGGCGGCCGCGTTCTTCTGTAGTGTGGCGATAGTGGCGGTGGCCGGAGCAGCAAATGGAACGTAACTGGCCCCGTAGATCCCGGCAGTGGGAATTCTCTGAACGTTGGGAGCCACGGTGTATACTGGAGTTATCGGGCGGCCCTGAAGAGGAAAAACAAAAAGAAACCCGTCCTGAACACGGGCACAAACCCATGGCCCGTGCGCTCCACCAGCAGCTCCCAGGCAATGGGAACACGGATGCAAAAGCAACGGTTTCCAGGCTCAGCAGGAAGGCAGGCGGAGGGGTGCGCAAGTAACAAGCACTGCAAGGAAGCAGGAGGGAGACGGGAAGGAGGGAAGGTGGAGCTGCATTTTCCAATTCAGGGATGCGACCTTGGTGAAAGTGAGGGAGACCTGGAGAGCGGAGGGAAAGCTGAACTAGAGATGGCTTTCCGGGGCCGGGCGCAGCGGCCCAAGCCTATAACTGCAGCACTTGGGAGGCCAAGGCAGGTGGATTGCCTGAGCTCACAGGTTCGAGACCAGCCTGAGCCCAGAGCAAGATCCCATCTCTAAAAAACAGCCAGGTGTTGGGGCGGAGGCCTGTAGTCCCAGCTACTTGGGAGGCTGAGGAAAGACAATCACTTGACCTCAAGAGTTTGAGGTTGCTATGAGCTATGATGATGCCACAGCACTCCAGCCTGGGTGACAGAGTGAGAATCTGTCTCAAAAAAAAAAAAAAGAATACTTAATGACATACATACTGATGGATGAATAAACGCCAACCAGTTTGGTCCACTGTGAATATGCAGTCAAGACTCGAGTTCAGAGTAGGCAAAGGCGAGGTGTGCCAGCCTGCCTCTGCTTCAGAATCACGAGGAACTTGGACAAGGTATGAACTCTAGAACCCCTGCCCAGTCAACTGAGTTGGAATTCACAGGGATTTGAGCCTAACAATCTCTGTTCTTTAAACACATGACTCTGGATAATTCTTATTCGACTAGGTGAGAGACCCTAGGCCTGATTATTTGGGATTGATGTTTGTAACTCTCTGCCTCACAGAGAACAGGTTTAAATAAGACTTCCTTTCTGTTAAACAGCTATAGTCTCTATGCACTAAAGACAGAGAGAGAGAAACCCTGAGACATAGCCTTTGCCCTGAAGGAGCTTCTATAACTGGGAGAGAACACATGGGCAGTCATATGCTAAGTAATAATTTCATAACAGAAGTACAGGAGAGTAGATTTCTCTAGGCTAGGTGGGTGGGGAAGATTCTTCTAAAGGTAGCTAAGATAAAATGAAGGTGGGGAAGGAGGCCAACACGGTAGGATTCATTTGGGAAGAGATAGGAGAATAGTGGGAGAGATAGTTAGAGGAGGGGATTACAGGCAGATTTTGTAAAATTTCACATATCAGCTGGGCACGGTGGCTCACACCTGGGAGGCCAAGGCAGGTGGAATGGTTGAGCTCAAGAATTTGAGACCAGCCTGAGGCAAGAGCAAGGTCCTGTCTCCACTAAAAGTAGAAAAACTAGCTGGGCTTTGTGGCAGAGACCTGTAGTCCCAGCTACCCAGGAGGCTGAGGCACGAGGATCCCTTGAGCCCAAGAGAGTTTGAGGGTGGTGCTCAGTGGGTAGGGCGCCAGCTACACACACGCAGGCTGGCGGGTTCAAACCTAGCCCAGGCCAGCTAAATAGCAATGACAACTGCAACAAAAAAATAGCTGGGCATTTTGGTGGGCACTATGGTCCCAGCTACTAGGGAGGCTAAGGCAAGAGAATCACTTAAGTCCAAGAGCTTGAGGTTGCTGTGAGCTGTGACGCCATGGCACTCTACCAAGGGTGACATATTGAGACTCTGTCTCAAAAAAAAAAAAGAAAGAGTTTGAGGTCACTGTTCAGTGTAATGCCATGGCATTCTACTCAGGGTAACAAAACAAGGCTCTGTCTCAAAATAAAATAATTAAAAAAAAATAAAGAGCTCACGTATCTACGTTTATATATTCTTTCTCTCCCCTTCTCTATATACATGTAAGTATATACTCACACATATATATGGGTGTAAATGTTTTGTTTTGTTTTAAATCTTCATTGAACTTCTTTGAGCTGCAGTTTGGTATGTGAACATGTGAAAGACCTCCCTGGACTTTCCGTCAGCTCTTTAACAACATGAGCTAGAAAAATTATCCAATGCCATTTAAAAATAAGTGGTCTGTGTAACATCATGACACTGTGAAAAATCACACACGTCATGTTCTTATACCACTTCCCATCCTTAACACAATGATAATATTAGGGAAGTAAATTATTTAAAATTGTTGTCTTCTCTCCTGTGATCATTCTCATTAAAAATACTCTGTCACCCAAAGCCGAGGGAGTGAGGGGCACGGTGGAGTCTCCACACTAAAAGCACGTGTGATGAGAGGCGCTTCACACACAAATGACAGCGGCTGCATCAAGAGCTCAACCTGGAAGGGTGGCGGCGTCGACACAGCAGGAATCACGGCGGCGGCTGCAGCGGCAGCTGCGGCGGCGGCGGCAGCACTGGCTGGGTCTGGCTGCACAGCAATAGGGCTGATCATGTGCTCCATCGTGTGAATTTTGCCGTCTTCAATCATTTTAGGTGCTGGGGCTGCTGGGAACATGGAATACTGAGCCCCGATGGCAGGGATGGCCACTGCAAGACAAGCAAGAGGGAAAAATAGGTGTCCACTTTCAGTCACCAGCAGAGTCCATCAGACGCTCGAGGATACGTGTAAAATCCAAAGTTAGCATTCCCGGCCTCTCCCTGATCACTGACGCTCTCTCAGTATAAGCCATGTGGCCAGCTACCAGTTCCCCAACAGGAAAGTGGCAGGTGACTATTAGCCCTGCTCGTCATTCAAAAGGAACCACAGGGCATGGGGGCTCCCAATAGGTCATCACAGAAGGGAAGCCTAGAGTTAGGCTTCTGCACCACCATTTTCTACTAATTCTACAGAAAAATTCATTTTGAAACTTATTCTTGATGCCTTCCTGAGCAAGGAAGGGCCTTGTGACTCTGAGGTAATGGGCTCAGAATAAGCGAGATCAGAGGCTGGAGCCACAGCACGTGTGAGGGTGAGTCCTTCTCACCCACCTCACTCGTCACCAGAGAGACCACCTTCCTGACTTCCACTGCTTTTTAAGAAGCAGTGTTGCTCAGAGATCGGTGTGTATCCTCCTAACTCTGTACTTTAGATTTCAACATTACTGATTCAAGGAAAAAACATAAAAAATGAGGGGATTTTTTTTTTTTTTTGAGACAGAGTCTCACTATGTCACCCTCAGTAGAGTGCCATGGAGTCACAGCTCACAGCAACCTCAAACTCTTAGGCTTAAGTGATTCTCTTGTCCCAGCCCAGAAGTAGCTGGGACTACAGGTGCCTGCCACAACACCCAGCTATTTTTTGGTTATAGTTGTCACTGTTGTTTGGCAGGCCCTGAGCTGGGTTCGAACCCACCCGCCCCAGGGTATGTGGCCAGCACCCTAGCTGCTGAGCTACAGGTGGCAAGCCAGAATTATTTATTAATGTCCACTCAATAGTAGTGAAGCAGTGAAGTGACTTCTTATTTTTTTTGGTGGGACCTGCCAATTCAAAAAAATTTCGGTGAATGAAGTCCAAAGGACTGATTGCAATCAGAGATTCAAAAACACAGCAGGTATTAAGTGTCAATGTATGATGAGATCAAAGGAACATCGACCCTGATTTAGGGGAGTTTGTGTATGTGCTTGTTGGGTGTTGAAAAAATGAGTCAAAAACATGGAATTTATACACAAAGAATCCTTTCATTTTTGGCTTTTCTCTAACTGTAGGTACACTTATTCTATTAAAGACCCACTTGATCAAGGGGCACCTGTGGCTCAGTGGGTATGGCACCCGCCCCATATACCAAGGGTGGTGGGTTCGAACCCAGCCCCTGCTAAACTGCAACAAGAAAACAGCTGAGCATTGTGGGAGGCGCCTGTAGTCCCAGCTACTCAGGAGGCTGAGGCAAGAGAATCACCTAAGCTCAGAAGTTGGAGCTTGCTGTGAGCTGTGATGCCACAGGACTGTACCGAGGTCGATAAAGTAAGACTATGTCTCTTAAAAAAAAAAAGGGCAGCACCTGTGGCTCCAGGATAGGGCATCGGCTCCATATACCAGAGGCAGTGGGTTTAAACGTGGCCCCAGTTAAAAATAGCAACAACAACAAGACCTACTTGATCAAACAAGAGAGAAATGACTGAAGCTAAACAGCGGTACAGCCATACAATAAAATCTATCTAAAACCCTAACTAAATCTTTTACTTGCCTTTCCAACCATATCTTCCACTGATCTTGTGCCCAGATATTTCACTACTTCCTGGTGCCTTCCTTCAAATACAAAATTCTAATTTTCTAGATGATCAGAAAGAGAATGCTACACGGGGCTGTACTAACACTCGAGTTACTGTGGGTACTACACCATAGGAATTTCTACCTCAGGCCCCAGGTTGCATTTTTACTTGGCTAAAGATTGTTTAACAATTCTTTTCTCTTGCTAAATAAAACCGAAGCTTTCCCAACAAGTAGAAGCAATAGTTCCTATATCCAGGCTGTTTGTTTTATGCAGCTCCCGAGCTACAGGATCAATTTTACGTTGCTCACGGTACCCAAGGAACTTATTTATCTTTTCAGAGACGAGGTCTTGCTGGGTTGCTCACCGTACTGTGGTGTATAGTGGCACAATCACAGCTCACTGCAGCCTCGAACTCCTGAGCTCAAGTGATCCTCCCACCTCAGCCTCTCAAGTAGCTAGGATTACAGGTGTGGACCACCACACCTGGCTAATTTAAAAAAAAGGTATTTTTGGTCAGGTGCAGTGGCTCATGCCTGTAATCCTAGCACTCTGGCAGGCCAATGCGGATAGATTGCTTGAGCTCTAGAGTTCAAGAGTAGCCTGAGCAAAAGTGAGACACTGTCCCTACTAAAAACAGAACAAGAGTTTGAAGTTGCTGTAAGCAATGATGATGCCATGGCACTCTACCCAGGGCAGCAAAGTGAGACTCTGACTCAAAAAAAAAAAAAAGACAGGGTTTCACTATGTTGCCCCGGCTAATCTTAGACTCTTCAAGTGACCCTCCTACCTTGGCCTCCTAAAGTGCTGCATCTATAGGCACGAACCAATATACACAGCTGCCAATAAGAAAATACAATCTATGCAGTCACTTAATTTTGCAAAGATTGCATGATTTTTACACAGGCAAAAAAAATCGTCAAAAGAAGGCTCTGCTAAGAAAATGCTCTTTAGCCCTGTGAGGCCAGGGAAGAAGTGTAGAGTCTCCACCAGATGAAAACCAGGGTCACTGAGCTTTAAGCAGCTCTTCACTCTGCCCTCCATGAAGCCAGAAGAGGTCGAGAGGAAGATCATTCCAATAACCCTTGGCTGAACCTTCCACCTGTTTGGCAGTGTGCTATTACCAAGTTTGTTAGACTCACAAATGGAGCTAAAGTTTTCTGCAGGTTTGGATCTGAAGTCCTACCTCACATTAGGGGCCCAAGGGCACTAAAACATTGGCAAACTAGTTTGTGGCACTTGGAGGTGAAAGCAAAGTTCAAGGTCCCTAGCCTGAGATACTTCAGTGTCCCCACACCCAATCTCATGGCCCCGGTGGAAGGGGAAATGAGTGCTGGAAATCGGGGAATCAGCAGCTGCAAAAACTTTCACTGCTACCTTGTCCCCAGGCATTCTT